TATAGAGATATATAGAGATATACAGAGATACAGAGATATAGATGATATAGATTTATAGATACAGGTATAGATTATATAAAAGATATAGAAGAAATAGAAATAGAAATAGAGATTATATAGATGATATAGATGATAGAGCGAGAGAAATAGAGATAGAGATATATAGATCTATCCATATATAGTGGAATAAATTTATAAATTTAAAACATTTATTTTGGCCACACTTGCCAAGAGAAGAAGGGATTTAGGAGATGACCCAGTAGGTTCCTGTTTGATTAAAGAGAGAATGCTCCGGTTTATCTAAAGTTTTCTGAAAGTTGTAATGTACAAAAATGTAAATTGTAACGTACAAAATGTAAATCTGCCTTGTTGGAGTTGAATTTTGGTAGGGCCAAAAGTAGTGCTTTAAAGTCTTCACTAGAGAAACTTAATGAATTACGGAAAGACAACCAATTAATGCAGTTATATCAGTAAAACAAATGTAATTTTCCACTGGACAACTGCAAGGCCCATTGGGCTCGGCAGATGCTCACCAAGTCCTTCCTTTTCCAGATCCTCTTTTTTCCGCTGTGGCGAACTTCTCCAAGGCTGCTGCTGAATTTCACAGGAGGCTTGAACAAGTTGACAAGAAAGAGTAAGTCTGAAAAAAACAGGTATATTTTATGTATAAATATCTACGTGTGTATGTCCCTTAGGTAGCCAGGGTGACAGGTGTCATTCCAGTGACTACACAAGGAGTCTCTGTGGTCAGTGTAGACTTTAAATGAATCTGGGAAGTTGTTTCCTCGTGGTGTGAAATGTCTGTCTCCATTTTTCACAGCCCAATCGCAGTGCGGATGATGAATGACCAGCTGATGTTCATAGAAAGAGCTTTCATCTGCAGCCCAATCGCAGTGCGGATGATGAACGACCAGCTGATGTTCATAGAAAGAGCTTTCATTGATCCTCTTGGCTTACCAGGAAGGAAGTTTTACCGGTGAGGAAATTAGTTTCTTGTTTATCTGCCTACAGCACTGTGTTTTCACAGGGGAACCCCATCTGCTGGGGCAGTTGAAACCTGTGTAGCCCTCATAGGATCCCAGCATGATTTGGGTGGGAAGAGACCTCAAAGCTCCCTCCAAGTCCAACCCCCCATGGGCAGGGACACCTCCACCAGCCCAGGCTGCTCCAAGCCCCGGCCAACCTGGCCTTGGGCACTGCCAGGGAGGGGGCACCCACAGCTTCTCTGGGCAACCTGGGCCAGGGCCTCACCACTCTCACAGGGAAGAATTTCTTCCTAATATCCAGTCTAAAGCTGTGCCCTTTCCCATTCATTTTACCTTTGAGACTGCTTTCTCCTGTCCTTTTAAAGACGGCTACAGGTAGCTTTTCTGCGTATTTGCTAAGTTTTGATCTTCACAGGATTCACCGCTGCTTCATGGTGATTTAATTCAGTACACCTACATTTTCTTCTCCTCTCCCCACAGACACATCATCTTCGCGCCAAGCAGCCACAACAAATACGCTGGCGAGTCCTTCCCGGGGATCTACGATGCCATCTTCGATATTGGAAGCCAAGCGGATCCACACGAAGCCTGGGATGAAGTCAAGAGGCAGATTTCCATCGCAGCCTTCACTGTGCAGGCAGCAGCAGGGACGCTGGAAGAAGCAGCGTAGGACGACAGCTTTGGAAAGCTCAGACAGCAAAGTGTGAAATGCAACGTAAAGGGGATAATACAGCGACCTGGTATCTCCTGAGCTTCTGAACTTCAGGATGTCCTGGTAGGTCCCGCATGTCAAAAAACTCCTGAGCTGGAAATTATTGCTTCTCCAGTACCAACCAAACTGCAGCTTGAAGAACAGCGCTCAACAGAAGCAACTTTTGGGGTGGGGATGGTGGGGAGAAGAAAGAACCAGTTCCCAGTTGGAGTTTTCTGATTTGCCCGTTTGGAGGATCCAAGAGCTTGGATGTGCAACTCCAAAACCATTTATTTGCCCGGTTATCACAGAATCACAGAATGTGAGGAGTTGGAAGGGACATCGAAAGCTCCCCCAGTGCAGCCCCTGCCAGAG